CTATAAGCTTCCCTCTTAGCAATGTGTTAGCTGTGTCCCAGAGATTCTGGTATACTGTATCTTTGTTCTCATTAGTTTCAAAGAACTTCGTTTCTACCTGAATTTCACTGTCTTCCAAAAGGTCACTCAGGAGCAGGTTCTTTCATTTTCATATAACTGTATGGTTTTGAGTGATTTTCTTAGTATTGATTTCTATTTTATTGTATTGTGGTTTGACAGCGTGGCTGATATGATTTTGGTTTTCTTTTAATTTGCTGAGGATTATTTTATATCCATTTGTGTGGCTGATTTTAGAGTATGTGCCATGTGCAGATGAGAAGAATGTATATTCTATTGTTTTGTGGTGGAGAGCTCTGTAGATGTCTATTAGGTACATTCTGTCAAGTGTTAAGTTCAGGTCCTGAATATTTGTTAATTTTCGGCGTGATTATCTGTCTAATACTGCCAATGGGTTGTTAAAGTCTCCCACTATTATTGTGTGGAAATCTAAATCTCTTCATAGGTATTACCTTTTACTATGAATCTGGGTGCTCCTGTGTTGGCTGCATATATATTTTGGATAGTTAGGTCTTCCTATTGAACTCTTCACCATTATATAATGCCCATCTGTATTAGTTCACTCACACTGCTATAAAGAAATAGCTGAGTTTGGGCATAGTGGCTCACGCCTGTGATCCCAACACTTTGGGACGCTGAGGCAGGGATCACTGGAGCCCAGAAGGTCAAGACTAGCTTGGCCAAATCAGTGAGACCCTGTCTCTACAAATAATTTTTTAAAAATTAGCGAGGTGTGGCAGCATGTACCTGTAGTCCCAGCTACCTAGGACGCTGAGGTGGTAAGATTGCTTGTGCCCATGAGGTTGAGGCTGCAGTGAGCAATGATTACGCCACTGCACTCCAGCTTGTTCAACAGAGTGAGATCCTATCTCAAAAAGTAAAAAGGGAAAAGAAAAGAGAGACAGAGAGAGAGAGAGATACCTGAGACTGGATAATACATAATGAAGAGAAGTTTAATTGGTTCACAGTTCTTCAGGCTGTACAGGAAGCATGGCTGGGAAGCCTCAGGAAACTTACAATCATGGCAGAAGGTGAAGGGGAAGCTGGCACATCCCATATAACTGGAGTAGGAGGAAATGCAGTTGGGGGCGGGGTTGCTAAACAACCAGATATTGCAAGAACTCACTCAGTATCACAAGAACAGCACCCAGGAGGATGGTGTTAAACCATTAGAAACTGCGTCCCTGATCCAGTCACCTCCCACCAGGCCCCGTCACCAACACTGAGGATTACAATGGAACCTGGACCTAGGGGCGGCGCAGGTCAAACCTTATCACCACTTCTGTTTTGGGGTTTTGTTGGTTTAAAATCTGTTTTGTCAAAAAATAAAAAAATAAAATCTGTTTTGTCTAAAATCAGAATAGCAACCCCTGCTTTTTTCTGTTTTCCATTTGCTTAGCAGGGTCTTCTCCATCCCTTTACTTTGAGCCTTTGGGTGTCACTGAATGGGAGCTAGGTCTCTTGAGGTTTTATGCCACTATATTAATCAGAAAAGCCAAAAATTAGTTTTTTTGTATGTTAGCTAAGTATGTAAGTTAACAATGGGCCAAAGAATCTCAAAAATATTTTTTTCTTTAAAAATTATGCCAAGCATCCCTAGATACTAATAGAGTGGTGATGATGAGACATCCTGAAATCAAAGGACAAGAGAATAAAAGGAATACTGTACAGGTTTATCCGAGCCCTGCCTGTTTTTGTGATATTCCTGTGCTCTGCCCTGGGGAAATTGATTATGGCCAATTAATAGGAAGAAAGAAAAAGCAACTAAGAATAGAAATTTGTGTGTTTGTGTGTGTGAAAGAGAGACAGACGAGACAGGAGAGAGTCAGGTGTGGTGGCTCATGCCTGTAATTCCAACACTTTGGGAGGCCAAGGTGGGCAGATCACCTGAGTTCAGGAGTTCAAGACCAGCCTGGCCAACATGGCAAAACCTCGACTCTATTTAAAAAATACAAAAATTAGCCAGATGTGGTGGCACATGCCTGCAATCCCAGCTACTTGGGAGGCTGAGACAGGAGAATCACTTGAACCCAGGAGGCGAGGGTTGCGGTGAGCAGAGATCACATCACTACACTCCAGCCTGAGCGACAGGGCAAGAATCCATCTCAAAAAGAAAGAAAAAGGGCCGGGCGCAGTGGCTCAAGCCTGTAATCCCGGCACTTTGGGAGGCCAAGGCGGGCGGATCATGAGGTCAAGAGATCAAGACCATCCTGGCCAACATGGTGAAACCCCATGTCTACTAAAAATAGAAAAATATTAGCTGGGCGTGGTGGCATGTACCTGCTACCCAGGAGGCTGAGGCAGGAGAATTGCTTGAACCTAGGAGGTGGAGGTTGCAGTGAGCTGAGATCACGCCACTGTACTCCAGCCTGGCGCCTGGCGACAGAGCGAGACTCTGTCGCAAAAAAAAAAAAAAAAGAGAAGAGACAGGAAAGCCCATCACCACTAGGTGAAGACTGAATTGAGCTCTCATCAAAAATATCCTATTCTAATTAGAATACAATTAAAACTCCATGAAGGCTTCATAAAATCTGCCTTCCTCCTATCTTGACAACAGAATAAACGCCTAGATTCCACCAGACTCCACACACCCTAAGTGGCACATCAGAGATGTGCAGAAGACAGAAGGTACCTAGCTGGTGAAAGTCTGAAGCTGTCAAAAGGAAGGCAAAGTATGCAGACCACCTAATCAAGAAGCCCAACCTGGGGATAACTAGAAAGGTATATTCAGACCACGGTATATATAAATGAGGATATGCCAGGCAAAGGAGAAAGAGATACACAGGGAATGGAAGAATTTGTGCAGAATGTATACTAAAGAGGATTCCTGGGATGGTGTGGGCAGAGGTACAGTCAGACCTTTATGTGAGCCACTGCAACTCAACCTAAGACAATCTTGATTTTTTAAGCTATAAAATGAGGCTAAAAATTCCTTTCTTGCAGGAGTTTTGTCAGGAAGATTAAATAAAATGGCATATGAAAACACACCACGAATCAGAGTGGGTGTCAAAAAGGAGTTCCATGCTTCCCTCACCTTCTCAATAAGCATCACCTAAAATGCATGCTGAACAGATCCCTGGTCCCCAATCCTGGATGGAAGCACAATTTCCATGGAAGCCATCTGGCAGTCTGCATAGTTAGCAGATGATGCTTATCAGGGAAATGTGGGAAACCTGGCATTATTCACTTCTCCCATAAGCTTCCACATGATGTGGAACACAGAAATGTCTCCAACAGAATAAAATGGCTGTGAAATCCAGTCCTCCGCCACTGAATGAGAAAACGTGCAATTTACAATTTAACAGGATATGTTAAATTGATGTTTTTAAACGGTACGTCTCTTAACGGTATGTCTCTTAACGGTATTCTTCTGTCAACGCTATTATTCTCTGAGCCTTAAAGGTTTTTTGGTTTTTTTTTAATTGATTCAGGGCATAAGAACAAACTATCTCCAATAAATCTGCTGAAATGTAGTCAAAATTGCAGTCCCATTCTACTGCACCATTTAAACAATATATAGCTCAATATGGGACTGATACACTGAGCAACTATAGTAAAAACACAGTTCAAGGAAAGCAACATGACAAGGAATGAAGATCTCCACCATGAGAACAGCTCAGGAAACCAGACCAAGACAGCACTTTCTAGAAAAATTGTCTTCTTATAAGCAAAACTGCCATTATCTAAAGAGCCTCTCATGAATCTGGCCTTACTCAGAGACAATAAATAACAATCTAAGGGCATCTTTTTTCGCAGATCTTGGTATGAAGAGGAGTTCTTAGTGAAATAGAAAGAAAGCAACAAACCAACTTGTGAATGTCAAATCAGCATGCCTTCAGACGGAAAATAACCTGGCAGCCTCAGCAGATCTTCCCAAATATTTAACATCTGCCTGTAAATACAAAGACAGTTTCATGGTCTGCAGCTAGGTGAGGAAGTCTGAAGACTGCAAAGTCAAACATTCGGGCTAGCGTAATAGAGGTGGCCACTGGAGACCCGAGGAGTTAACTAGGCTCAAAGGTCAGCGTGGACACGCGAGCACAGAGCACGAGGAGCTTCCAGCAGCTCTGCAGTCTCCTTAACTATCCACCTACTCAGAGCGCCCAGCTGGTCCTCGTGAGGGAAATGGGACTTGGAGTTTAGAATCGCTGTGGTTTCCGACACACCAGCAGTCACTGTTATTCGCACCCCTACCCCGCCCCCCCACACACAGTTTTTAAACATTACCTTTCAACAGCAGCCTCTCCTACCCCGCCCGCTCCTCCCCACCGCCCCGCCAACCCCCTCTACTGAAAATCGTCAAAAAAAAAAAGAAAGAAAAAAGTGTTTTGGGTTTGTTTCTGGTTTCTGGAGTTCGCTTTTCATAGATTTTCTTTTAAGCCAAAATAACAGCACATAAGAAAGAAGCCTGAGATTGCCGGGAGCTCCGGAGCCGGCGGCCGCAGCAGGACAAGCGGCTTCTCCCTTATCTATCTTGAAAATTAACAGCAGCCCAAACACCGCGATTTACTCACCGTCCCCCTTTCTCCTAAACTGCCTCGGTGCTTGTTTTGTTAGGTCTAGTTCTATTGTGGAGGGAAGAACCGTTTCTCGGAAAACTTTCTACGGTAAGAGACCAGAACCTTCCAGACCCCAGCCCTCCCCGCGTACAGACCCTTTCACAAGAAAACAATAGTGAAGGAGGCGCTGGACACTCCTCCCGGCTTCGCGACCGCACAACCTCGCGGGCGATTCGATGAAAGAGGGTCCCAGGGCAGATCGTCTCTGCCCCCGCGGCTCCTGCGCTTACCCGCGAGGCTGCGCGCCCCTCCCGCCCTCCATGGCTCCAGGACCCCCGGGCGCCCTCCCCGCCGCGGCTGCAGCGCACCCCGGCGGGCTCGCGGGTCCCAACGCCCGTGGCCCCCGTGGTCCCCGCACGCCACGCTCCCTGGGGCCGGCAGGGCATGTGGCGGGGCGAACAGCGCTCCGCGTCCCCACCCCCAACGCTGACCTCAGAGGCTGAAACGCCGGAGGGTCCGGGCGGCACAGACCCCAGGCCGCCCTGCCCCGGCCCAGGACGCGGGCTCCCCGCACCCCAGTCTCCCTCACCCGGGCAATGCGAACCCGCAGCGAAGCCGGCCGGCGAGACTGCCCCGCCGAGGCCCAGCAGCGACGACTGCAGAGGCGCGCGGGGCTCCGTGACCGGGGGGGCCGCTCTCGCTGCAGCCGGCTGCTCCTCTCCCGCGGCGCCTGCCGCATCGGGCCGCCGGAGCCGCGGCCGACGGAAACCAGAGGAAGGCGGCGCGGGCACGATTCCTTCCCCCCGGATCCGGCGGGGGAGCAGAGGAGGGCGCGGCGCTGCGCGGAGTCTCAGGCTCCCGCCGGCCCGCGCGCTGCCCGCCGCTCCGGGGTCCGGGGTCCGGGGTCCGGGGTCCGGGTGCCGGGCGACTGCGCCGAGCGCTCCGGAGCCGCGGGAAGCTGCTCCGGCTCCGCGGCTGGCGCCAGTTGCGCGGTGGCCGCGGCCGCCCCTGATTCGCGGAGGAAGGTGCGAAGCGGCGGGAGGCTGCGGGCCTCACTGTCCCCCCGGGCGGCAACGCGGGAGCGCAGCCGAGTCCCTACCTTTCGGGCGGGGCGGACTCCACCGCGCGCCCTCCCCGGGCGCCGGGGCCGGAAAATCACCGCGGAGGGAGGGACGGGGAAAGGCGGCGGGTGGCTTCAGGACAAGGTAGGAGGATCGATTTCCACCGCCAAGAAGACACTCCCATCCCGCCCTGGAGTGTTTGCAAAGCTGCAGGAGCTGGAGTGAGGGGTGGCCGGGCACTCCCCTTCCCCGCCGGGTTGGCGGGCGCAGAGGCAAACCCGGATGCTCGCCGCGCCGCGGACTGTGACACAAAGCCCAGCCGAAGGGGAGGAGTGTGCAGAGAGCGCCTGAATTCCGGGGCTCTGCCCTCCAAGGGCAAATGTGTGAGTACTTTTTATCTTTTGAAGCAATTACTTCAGGGAGAACGAAGGTGGAACGTGCTTTCTGCCTTTTGCCTCCCTGGAAAAAAGCCTACGTTATAAATGTCCTCTTACTTGGATGGCTCTGCATGCTTTTTAAAACTTGTCTGTCAAATAATTCCTTGTCTAGAAACATTCAAGTCATAGCCGCAACCTTTGGGCACTGAGCAGTGTCGTCACGTGCGATCAAATGACCCCAGAGAGAAGACCCACGGACTTGGATGCAATTCAAAGTTGGCAGTGTGTCATGAAGTGAAACAAAGTCCTTCATCTGTGATGGGCTTTCTGGTATTTCTCGCTGTCTGTCTGTCTCTCTCTCTCTCTCTCTCATA